AAGGGGCAAGCCTCATTGCCCTAATGAAGGGTAAACATCTTAATTATTAGCCATGGTAGCTTAGAGTATGTTGGGGAGAGAAAAACCATCCTGAGGGTAAAGATAGACAACTAAAACAGAGGAATACCATCGCACATGGCTCCTCAGGCCGTTCACGACTGGCACAAGCCAGCCTTTATCATTTCAGCATGGCCTCCTCACACCTTAACAAGTGGATAGTTAGAAGGGTTAAGGAAGGGGACAGAAAAAACGAAAAAGGCAGGAGGGGAAAAAGACCGTGCAAAATTTGAGTCGGGGGCTTAATGGGTTCCAGTCCTCGCCTCCAAGATACCCCACGACAACAACGAGCACGGATTGAAGAGGACAGTATTTTGGCAACACTGGTCGGACTGCCACGCTTCGATTCCCGCTTCGCACTGATCCGGGGCGTGACTGAACATATTTGGACACGATTATTGAACTATTACAGTATGTCGTTAACATGTGTTTTCGTGAGCAGTTGGACAATTGGCGAGGGTTACCGCTTGTCCACGCGGGCAAAGCACTGTAGTACTTGCATCGGTTGTCTGTGGTGCCCAGACAAAACGAGCTCAGGTGCCGCACTGTAGTTACTGAGGCCACCAAATATCACGGGTCCAGATATGGACCTAATTGGATTCATCGGAAACTCTCGGCCTGTGAAAATGAAAATGGACTTACAAAAAGAAACAAACATAATCATCAGTAGATAACACGTCAGCGGGCCATGGCAAAAATTGGTGTGACCTTAACAGTTGCTGACAAATAAGCAACACTTCGCAACCAGCAAAGAGGGGGACGGAGACAGATACGAAAGAAAGAAATGTCAGAGGACAATTTTTTCTTTCAATATTGCCAAATTCTACAATGTGCTTGCACTTCGTTTCATTTTCTCTCTCTTTTTTTTCATTTTTATCACTGAAATTATTATAGTACACAATGCTGTTACTCTTTCGATCCTTTATAGGACACCATAGTTTTTGTACTGCGCATGACCCTGACAAACCACAATCTGGCTCACCCTAGACACCATCGTTGTGGACAACAGAACAGCTCTACCTGCACACTGTGCCGGTGAGGGTTGTGGTCTATCTTGCATTATGGCCTTTAGGTACTCGGATATCTGTTTCCATATGCTTTGTATTTGTGACAAAAAATTTCAGTTAAATATATAGTGTGATCAAATTCAAATGCAATGGAGAGGGGACACACATGGTGGGCAGGCAGTGGCCTCAGCCAGAAGTAGTACTAAGATTTCCCTGAGAGATAAACTGGTAAAAGAAGGTGCACTATATGACACATTCTTGCTCCACCTTGGCCAAAATAAGAACAATTTTTTTTTATCAATATATTATTAAGAACGTATCTGCTAAAACAATTACATTACCTATCATAAGACTTGTGTAATTGTGAACAACACTGTTAATAGAAAGTAATAAAAAACGTCACCACAACCCAATGCTACAAGCAACTAGAGTCCAATGAATAAATGTAAGCAGCAAATTCTAACATTATACTGATTTTACCACGAGTTAAAATACATTCAGCCAAAGTGAAAAAACAGATTTTTTCCCCAAGAGTTAAGTACCTTCAGCCAAAGTGAAAATCAATGTTCAAATAAGTACTCAAAAAAGAACATGTTTATTCCAAGAGTATGAAAACATTATCTTTGTGTCTTTTCATTGCATATTACATACAATTAACAATCATTTGCACATTGTTCAAAATATACAGTACAAGCTTGACTTACACCTTAAAACTACAAAGATTCAACCATACCTGGACAATGTTTGTAATTTCTCGTTTTTTCAGTGTAAATCATATGGCCAGGACAAAGATAAAAATACTGGATGACTAGTTAAAAATGATAAGTACATTTTATCACTGGCAGAAAGTTCTCTAGTAATTATATAAAACTCACTGTTTTAGGGCAATGAAACAATGAAGTTAAATCAAAATAAGGTATTTAAAAAATTATGGAATATAACATCTACAAAATATTAATTAGATTCAATTTCACTTTCTGTTATTAGTTCCTCAATGTGGTAAACCTATTTCATTTTGTATGGTTCTACATTATACTATTATTGTAATAATTTAATTCATTCTGCCATAAAGACTGTTGTCCTACTTTTGCTATCATCACCAATATTATCATCTTGATTACCATTTATTGCTGTCATCACACTATTACTATTGCTTTAATCATCATTACATAAATAAAATATTATTATTATTATCATTTTTTTTTCCAATAACCTTATTTCACTTGCTCTACCATGCTTTATCATTAACTGGTTAAAAACAATGTATCATGGTAAAAAACAGTGGATGATTCATAACAAGGATGATACATGACAGATCGATAATAATGGTGATTAAACTTTAGGGTTGTATGATAGTGACTCTGCTCATGATGATGACAGTGAAGGTGATGATGTTAGTGATAATGATGCAGTAGTTGAAGTTAAGAATGATGTATAGATGACTATCATAGTATGATGAGCATGATAATAATAACTATATTGAAACAATAATGGCAATGGTGATAGTGATGTAGGTGTGATTGTGTTATTTGAAATAACAAATGGCTGATATGCTGGTTGGCAATGATGGTTACATCAATGTTGATTATAATGTGCAGTGATAACTGTGATAACTGTTATAATAATATTGACAGTATCCAAGCTCATCATCATAATAATAAAACTAACAATAATAAAAATTAAATTCTAACAATAATAATAATTAATAGTGTTATAATAACAATGATGAAAGTAAGGCACATGTGGTAATTATTCTAATGATGTTACTGACATCAATACCAGCAATACATTAACATAGAAAATCAGAGATTCGAGATAGCAATTTTTTTTCATGTTCTGCAAGAAACTCTCAACTATTGTACCAACTATGATAGACTTACTGCACTTGAAGTTTCCAATGTAGTTCACCCATTACTACATTTTTTACTCTTTTATAGCATCCTTTGTTGTTCTGGGGGATTATGACATGCATTTTACCACAGGGCTTTCATACCCATTGCTGTGTTTATCTTAATGATACAATAAACAACTTTCTTGAATCTTCAGTATCTTTATTGTCAATTACTGCACACTTGTAGTGCCTGAGTTTGGTTTTGAAATTACACAGTCTTGCACTAAGACACTTCCATGGGGTTTCTTATAGAGTAACTGTATTTGTTTTTTTTTTTACACAAAGATCCTTCGTCACTGCGCTGTCTGGAAGAAAGGACACAGAGAAAATCAGGTGCAATCATTTATGCGTAAATAGAAAAACCTTCAATCTGGAGGATTTATTTCTGGATTAACGGGTGACATGGTATTAGGTGTAAAAGCACAGTTAACTATCCCAATCCATGTGCCACACCTTCTTCAGCTGATATGACAGATTACATCACAATTCCCTTGAAATTTAAGTCAAATTAAACTCCCCATTTAAAATCAAATGAAACTGTGTCTATGAACAATGTGGCTATTCTATCTCTGGCCCAAAGAGGAATTCATGATAATTACAGAACGACAATGATATGATGTCGATGATAATAGTAACAACAATAATAATAATTTTTTATTTTTTAGTTTTTTAATAATAACAATATGAATAATACATTATATTAATCGTAATAATAATATAATATTAATAATAACAATAATAATAATAATAATACTAATAATAATAATCATAAGAACAATCAATCAATAATTATAATAATAATAATAATAAGATTGACTAACAATAATATTAGTAAAAATAAACAACAAAAAGGAAAATAATAATAATGATAATAATAATGTTAATAATAATTGATAATAATAATAAAAATAATAATAATAACTATAATAATAATATATTGTAAGATTAAATAATATTAATAATTAATAATAATAATAATAATACTATATTATAATAACATAATAATGATAATAATATGTAATATTAACAATAACAATGACTAATTATAATAATAATATAATAATATCATTATAATACAATAATAATGATAATAATAATAACAATAATAATAATTAATAATAATAATAATTATATAATAATAATTTTAATATAATACTATTAATAATTATTATTAATAATAATTAATATTAATAAAAATAATAAGTAATATTATAATAATTAATAATACAATAATAATATCAAGTATGCAAAGTAAAAGTTTCAAATCAATATCTACTAAACTTCTTCATTCTTTATCATTCACAATGTTTCATTGTCATCACAAGTTCTAAACGATTTAAACAATAAAACAGACATTCCACTCAAAGGGAAGCATATTTGAGGATTCCCAGACACTATAGGAGCCCAGCCCCCAGTCATATGGGAGCCGAAAAAGGTATCGAAATTGAATGAAGGCAGGGACATATATTGACAAGGAGTACTTAAGTCTGAAGAGCGCCCAATCCAACTGTTGTGAAGGATGAAGAGGGGGCGCTACCCTGTAGTTTCCTGTCGCCGCTCGGCCAAGGCAGGACTTTCCCTTGGCTCTTCCAGCGGCCGCACAGGGTGACAAGTGGGTGGCTGGTGGGCATGGGGAGCCCAGTCATGGGCACAGCCAGGCAGGTTGGTGGTTGTTGGGCCCATTACTAGAAGTCCACAATGTGAGTGTGGCAGGTGTGGCTAAGCCGGACACTTCCGGGCCACCAGCAGAGCGACCCTTCTGCCATTGCCTTCCACCACCGTGCCTCTCAGCAGGGCTACCAGGAAGGTGTTCGTTGTATGGGGCACCACTGTTAGCTGTGTGGGTCCTGGTGTTGCACTGTAACAAGCACACTGATTGCAGGGGGCAGGAGGCCATCTCGTCCTTGCTGCAGGTGGGGGCAGCTGGCGCTACCACAGACTGGGCGCGCATGGTGCACACGCAAGTGCTTGCGGCAGGTTGCCTGATTCACCAAGCCCTGCCGCCACCCTGGCCATCATAGAGCCTCTCCCCAGTGTGGCGCCCTTCATGCAACCTTGCGCTTTCTTGATCTCTGCAAACAATGGAACCTCATAGACAAATAAAGGGTAACTTTGTGGACTGTCATGGAGATGTTTGCCATGGAAGTTCAGCTTAAGAATTAATATTACTTACCTGAAACTTTTTCACACGTAGGAAGCACGTGTAGTGGACGTGTATCCGTATGCATATGTTCATGTTACGTAGTACTTCTCTCCGCAGAAATTCCTTTTCACAGTACTGGCATTTATGTGGCTTTTCACCATTGTGGTTTTCTTTGTGCATTGCTAACTGCCCCTGGCTGTGAATACTGTACAAGACCAATGGATTAAACTTATCAAATTATGCAATATACAATCAATTTTTATCATCCATTTATTCAATATGATAATTGGTTTCATATACATTGCACTCTTACCAGGCCATACCTACAAATTCAAGAAAAAAAAAATTATATTATCCAAAGCGATTTTACAAGAACATAATAAAGAACTCCTACAAACCTGACCCCACGACATCACATACAAACGGCTTTGACCCTGTGGTGGGATTCTACGGTGTCCTCCTGTTCCCTCTTGAGAAAAACACTTTCCACAAAACTCACCGAGAAGGGTCGGTTTCTGTGTGAAGCTTGGTTGGCTTTCAAGATTTGCTTTCTGTGTATTTGAAACAGGCAGTCACAAGCTTATGAGTACACCACAACTTTCAGAAAATTAGAATATGCTGGAAAAATCATCATGTGTCATATGGAATTTCAATTACATTCTGTGAATCTGATGCTGCCTTCAGATTATGAACATTTAGTATAGATCAAGATAAAAATAATAATAAAATTAAAATAATATTAAAAGGGGGACCATCAGTTACAATATTTACAACATTTACTAATTTTGGCTACTTTGAGATATATGGTTTTTTGATACCTTTCAAAATTGAAAAAAAACTACTCCTTTGTTGCCCCAACCCACACAAAAAAATCTATAAGTGGGTTAGCCATAGATTTAAACAGTAGAAATCTAAATATAATTTTTCACACAGATGCAATATTACACTGTATCATCTTTTACATATCTATCTTTATTATAACGATACATAAATACAGCTATCCATCCATTTATCCATATATAAAATGCTATATATTTATATATATATATATATATATATATATATATATATATATAATCATATATATATATATAGATTGATATAAAAACATAGGGGTTACCCCACTAGAAGTATCAAATACAGTGTTGATTCCACAACATGCAAGATTTCATTTGATATATTGGTATATATGTGACTTACTTAGTTTTTCCTTTTTTTCAATACTTACCAGCAATGCACTTGTAATTTAGAATACACTTTAAGTTTAGACACATTAAAGATTTTTTCAAATTCAAAATTACCGTCAAGGAGTGGCTGATTTCTTGGCTGTTTTGAATGAGTTGCATGTAACTGATTGGGGGGGGGGTGGGTCCATCAAAGTCATTCCTAAAAAATTATGTATGGTGTGGTCCAAATGAAACTCACCCAGCATTATGGAGTACTAATAGCAGTTGCATTGATAAGCAACAATAGCACATTGCATGGAGAAGTAGTTCATGAGTTCAGCCCTATTATTGCTGGCATGTTTGGATGTCTTGCACATCTTTTGCTATCTGAATAATTAAGATTATAACAGCAACATCAGCAAGTACATGCTGCTACAGAACGACTGGCTATGGGATTGCACAGCCAGCTTGTGTTCTAGACCTGTGGCCAGTTTAGGATCTGGACCACTTGCAAGCACACTACATGACACTACTTGGTCCTGACAAGGAACTGAAACCCAATTAATATCAAAATAGACATTTGCTGCCACTGGACATTATCGCACAGCCTGCACAGAAGAAGGCTTCGCTGGGAACTTGGCCACTGTCAGGCAAGACACTATCCTAAGTAAACAGCCACCATGTGCCCTGCTTGAGGGGAAGTTGGGCAAATTTTGAAGGATGTGTCATCAGTGAAAAGCATAAGATCGTAGCCAGCAGTGTGAATTTGCATCCATGTGTTCACCCAGCACCTACATAGTTATCAGTTAACAAGAAGCAGCAAGGACATAGCAGCACTGGTGCACAGGTTTGCATGGCAAAGGTTGAATGGTTAAAAATGCAAATAAATGTGCTGGACATCAAAGGTCATAAAAGACTATGGAAAAAGTATCGTAGCAAAGAGGGTAAATGGGGGATAATGGTACTGAAGCGGTTGAGAGAGATGAAGGTAAAGGAGTGATTAAATGGAGCAATGTTTGAATTTGGGTAAAGGGGAAAAAGGGGGGGGTAAGGGTTAGAAGTTATTATGGCACAACAAAAATGAGTTCACAGTTAAAAACTGAGGGTAGAAAAGCAGGAGGGGGATGAATTAAGAAATGAGATAGGGGTCAGAGGAATTTCTGGAGGAATGTCAAAAATAGATTTTTTTCACATTTTTGTAAACAAATATAAAGCTGTTGATCTTTAATGAAACTTAAGATGTCTTTATGCTGAAAAGAAGGAGGGAGTTGCAAAGTTCTTGAAAAAAATAAAACAAAAATAAATAAGAAAATTAACAAACGAGGCAGTCCCTTTAATAAACCATACCTTTCCCACACACTTCAACCCAGCAGTGTGTGTAGCGTTTCTTCACTTGGTCTGTGAACCTTCTTATGGTTGATTAGTTCTGGCTTACTTTGAAACTTCTTGTCACACTCGTCGCATGAAAAAGGAAGTGGGTGTTGAGTGGACCAACATGTGACGAGTCCAAAGGGGTAGTGGTGGCTGGATTCATATAATTTCTACACTTAGGGCACCTGTGGGATACAAGATGTAAGGAAACTAATTTATTCCCATCTGAATGCCAGATTACATTCTGTAAACCTATAAAGAAATGTAGCAGATGCTGATGCAACGGCCCCTACCCTGGCAGTTTCTGATGTTTCCTACGCTGGTGGTTGTCATAGTGTGAATTTGGGGACGGTACGTGGACACTGTGGACACATGTAACGGGTGTCTCCAGCTGATGGGCCTCCAGGGAGTGTGATGACAGCTTCTCTAGTTGATCAATGAGGCTTTGCAGACACTACATCTGACCGCAACATTTCTGTTGGATACCCTGTAAAGCAGTCACATGAGCTAACTTATGAAATGGGAAACCAATTCTAATTGGAAA